GGCGTGTGATGTACACAATTACAACATTGTACATAGCATAGATACATCGTTAACGTCATGCCGATCTTTAAGTCTGGCGACGCCCATAATGCTTCGAATTATAGACCAATATCATTATTAAGCTGTGTTGGAAAAAATTTTGAACGTGTAGTCTATAAACATATTTACAACTTTTTTAACTCTAATTATCTTATTTACAAACTTCAGTCTGGATTCTTACCCAATCATTCTTGTACGCATCAACTCATTGAAATGTACCATTCTATGATGTTAGCATTAGAAAACTATGAACATATAGCTTTTACTTTTTGTGATTTTTCAAAGGCCTTCGATCGAGTTTGGCATAGAGGGCTTTTATACAAACTTCAACAACATGGTATTTCAGGCAGTCTTCTTAATTGGATAACAAACTATCTTTTTGAGCGTAAGCAATCCGTCTTTATTCACGATTCCCATTCTTCTGTAAGAAATATAAACGCCGGTGTTCCCCAAGGTTCAGTGTTAGGCCCTTTATTCTTCTTGATTTATATTAACGACATTTCAACCGAACTCTCCTCATTATCTCGTCTTTTTGCTGACGATACGTCGCTTTCATACTCATCACCAAACCTAGAAAATATTGTAAGTGAAGTAAATAAAGACCTAAAAACTCTAGAGAAATGGTCTAAAAATTGGCTGATGTCTTTCAATCCTAAAAAAACCGAAATCATGATTGTTTCTAATACAAATCTACCCTTTCAACCCCAATTTATTTTTAACGATACTTCTATCCTTTTAACAGATAGCCACAAACACCTTGGAGTTATACTAAGTAGCGACGGTAAATGGAATAAACATGTAGACGAACTTATCAAAAAAGTGGCTAAATATATAGCAACCCTTCGTAAAATGAAATGGTTACTCAGTAGAAATAACCTTGAAAAACTATATTTAACGTACATTCGACCATTATTAGAATATGCATGTGAAGTCTGGGACAATTGTGGAATGACAAATTCATCAAAACTTGAAAATATTCAGATAGATGCTGCACGAATTGTTACAGGACTACCTATTTACACAAAAATTGAACATATATTTAATGAAATTGGCTGGGTTCCACTAAGTAATAGAAGGAAAAACAGAAAATTGTCCCTATTCTTTACAATTAAAAACGGTACAGCTCCTAATTATTTGTGTGACACCTTACCAGATAGCATTGGGGATATTTCTCGTTATAACCTAAGAAATTCCCAACATTTAAGACAACCAAACTTTAGGCTTGAAACAATGCGCAATTCTTTTTTCCCATCAACTACAAAAATGTGGAATGACCTAGATATATCTATAAGGAATTCGGCTTCTCTCAGTTCATTTAAATCAAATATAAAATCAAAAGGTAAACCACAAAATAAATGCTTTCTGGTATGGGGTTCCCGTAAATCAAATATACTTCATTGCCGTTTGAGAAATCGTGCGAGCTCCCTTAACTATGACCTATTTAGAGCAAATTTATCAAATACAGCTGAATGTGCATGCGGTAATCCATGTGAAGACTCTTATCACTTCCTTTGTGTCTGTCCCTTATACACCCAGCATCGTAATCTATTAATAAGAGAGCTTCAACCTGTTCGTGATGATTTAACTTTAGACTTGCTCCTATATGGCGATCCTAAATTCAGCATTAATGTAAATACCTCAATTGCAAAATCTGTCCAAAATTATATCAGCAAATGCAACAGGTTTGACTGAATGTGATCATCTTTCTCTCTCTATCACTCTTTTTTTTCTCCGACTCTACCTGTGTTACTATCATTTACTTCATTACTCTATCCGTCTTTTCTTCCACTCTATTTTTCATCTACTCTATCTGTGTTACTATCCTTTACTTCGTTTCGCTCTCCTTCTTTTCTTCGTCTCTATTTTCCATTTCCATATAAAAACATAATTAATGTATATTGCGTAAATTACCTTATCAAGTTATTGTTTATACTCATG